CAGCCCATACAAAAGAAGGGGGTGTCGACATCAACTTCCTCGACTCGAGCTTCCGCCGATGGTCCAGTTGGAAGGACGAGTGAGGAGTCTTCCGCCTGAGTAGGCGGCTCTGCAAGCTCTGAAGGCTCCGCCACAGGGAGAGCTGCCGGATCTGCAGTCGATGCGGGCTCGGCAGTCGCCGGCAGGAGGTCCAGCACTGGCTTGAGGCCCCAGCTCTCGGGAGTGAAGGCGGAATCTCGGGCCAGCAAGGCGGCATAGGTCTCCATCTGAGCCTCGCGGAAACCTAGGCGATAGTCGCGCTCACCCAAGTCAAGGAGATACTCATCTCCTTCCGGTGTCGCAAGCCATTCCTGGGCGATCTCCTTCTGCCGAGCCGCCACCGCCGCCTTCACGTCCGCCTCGAAGGCCGCCGACTTCTTGTAATCCTCCACCGAAGTTGCAGCGATGGTCGCGACCTTGTCCCGCTCCTCCTCCCACTGACGAGTGACCCTCAGCAGCTCGGAGGTATGCACCTCCACCGACTTGGCATGCTTAGCCTGCTCTTCCAGGCGAGCCTCCTCTGTTTGGCGTAGACGAGTGGAAAGAGACTGGAGTCCCGTCTTGTAACCCCTCAGTCGCCTGCTCATCTCCATCTGGAAGGTGAGGTTCTGCAAGAACAGAGGAGGTCAGACAAAGGAGAAGAAAAGGACAAAAAGGACGACAAGTCAGAAACACTTACGCGGTACGATTGGTGAAGCGAGGCCTCGAGGATGTACTCGTCTGGCATTGCGCCGGTCATCTTCACGTCCTTAGGCAGAAGAACGTGGTCGGCCTAGGAACGGACGGAAGAGCTGCCTTGCCAGATTTGGGTGTCCTCATCCAGCTCGATGCCCAACCGGATCCTCTTTGGAGCCGGCGCATCCGATTGCTTGACGGGCCGCTTAGAGCTTGGGCTCTCGGACGGAGGAGGAGGCGGAACTCGGGAAGGCGAGGTGACGGGTGATGGCGTCAGGTCCACCACGGAACGTGGTGGTGGAGGAGTCGACCTCGAGGCCGGAGAAGCGAAAGACGAAGAGGCAGCGGCGGCGCCCGAGGCGCGTTGAGACAGTCGGCGCCTCATCTTCTCAGCTCTGTCAGCCATCTCTGGAGTAGGAGTCTTGGCTTCGTCGGAGCTGGTAGAGTCAGAGTCGTAAGGACCTACAAAGGAAGAGATTAGTGTTAGCAATCGGGCAAAGAAAGAAAAAGAAAAGAAGGACATAGAAGAACTACCTAAGGTGGCCGCGCCGTCTGGCAGCAAGCCTCGTTTTGCCATGGCTCGGACCCGAGACCAGTACTTGACAGAGTACGACCCAAAGCTCCTCAAGAACTCGCTACCCTGGATCGCATCGTGGGTGAAGACGGTGCGCCGAGAGCAAGGCTTGAACAGAGCGGCCGGCCACAGGGTCGGAAAAGCGAAAGAAGAGAAAGAAGGACGAACGAAAAAATAATAGGGTTTCCAGTCCTTAATGGAATCGGAAAGACCCTCGAAGAGTTGTCGCCCAGGACGGGCGGCAACCTGGACGAAGCCCGGCGAATGTGAGCCGACCTTATTCACGGTGAACAAATACCGGAAAAGGTCTAGATCCGGCTCACAAAGCCACCAATGGCAGAGGTTGATAAAACAGGTGAGGAGGCGGTGAGAGTTGGGTACCAACTGGCCCGGAACGAGGTTATAATGACGGAGGAAAAGGGAGAGAAACGGACACGGAGGCACCCGGAAGCCAAAAGCAACCGAGTGCATGTGAATACCCACACAGCCCTCCGGCGGGTCATAAATATGCCGGCTTTCTGGGGCAAAGACGAGGGCAGAAGGCCCAAGAAGGTAGCGGGCCATTTCTAGGTCCGCCGCCGAGATTTGCGACGGGCGCCCCTCCGGCCGGACGATGGAGTCGAACTTGCCTCACGGCCGTCCGATACCATCAGGAAGAGCCGCCACCGTCGTGAGGGGCGCCAGACTCAGAGGAATCACCGCCCCCGAAGAAGAGGGGGTCGGTTGGGAAGAAGACGCCGGTGAGAGACCAGGCGGAATCTCCATACGGCGAGGATTGGAAGTAGAAGAAGAAGACATAGAAGTCGACGCAGGGTTCCCCGTCGAGCGACGGGAAGAAGAAGAAGAAGAAGAGTCAGAGGAGGAAGACATTACCAACCTGAAGAAGGCTAGACGGAGGAAGAGGGCAAAGGCTTGCGCTGAGTTCTTTTTTTCAGAGAAATTTGGAGAAAGTGAAAGAAGAGGGAAGAAGACGGGTATTTAAAGGGAGTGAGAATCCCAAAGGCCGGCCACATGTCACCCTCTCGCTGGGGAAGAGAAGGGTGACAAGAGGTGAAAGGGCGCCGCATTTAATGCCTGGGAAAACGGAACGACGGTTCAGGCCTAGGGACAGCCTGCAAACGGCGCGTCTACCCTAGGCTAGAACCGAGTTGCAGTGACCCGGCCTGCTAGCCGGAGGCCCATCGTAGGCCTTGGCCTCTGGGCCCACCGGGTGTGGACACGAAGCTTCCAGAAGGGGCCCAGCAAAAACCCGACCCGTCTTAGCTTGGTTGGCACAAGCAACGTTTGCAAAAAGATCCAAGCCTGGGAGTCGGACGATTAGGCTAGGCGACTCTAAACGCGAGAGGCCTCGACAGGGGAAAACCAAGAGTCGGCCAATGAATATGCGGAGATAAGAAAAAAACACTACGAGCAGACAAAAGGACAAACAGTTTATTCGAAAAACATCAAAGGGGCCTAAGACCCGGCCAAATACAGAGTACAAAAGGGGCCTAAGACTCGGCCAAATACGAGACGCAAAGGAAAAGACGGATCATGGCTTGGCTCCCTCCTCCGACGGCTGAGCAGGTGGAGGACCCTCCAAGAAGTACTAAGGGCGGAAAGGTGGAGGACTCGGCTCAGGCTCCGGCACCTCATCCAGATACACGGCTGGCTTCCCGTCGTCAATCATCTGCAAGGGCCTCTCCAAGGCACTCAGAGACATAGCTACGCCGAAAAGAGGTGAAACCTCCCACACCTCCTCCTCCTCTGGGCCCAGATCGTCCACCACTGGTTCCACCTTGTCACCAGCCGGCTCCACGGGGGCCAGATCCAGCATATCTGGGGGCACCACGATAGGATCAGAGCTTGAGTCGCCCACCAGATGTCCACCGTTGGCCAGCCTTTTCTGCCTTAGCTCTTCCAGGCGAGCATGCTCCTTGTTGCGAATGGAGAAGTGACGATCGCCGACTCTGTAACTCATGATCAGAGGTCTGTGGACAGAAGTGGTATGAATCACCAGCATAGGGGGCCTTTATATAGCCTCAGGGGGGCGAGTATCTAGGCAAAAATCACGGAGCTGATAGTAAACTACCGTGATCAGGCCGGATTGGACGGGAGACAGGGATCTGTGTCAGGGGGTAGTTCCATCAAATCCGCTCGAAAAGAGTGAGATTCACACGTTGAACTGAAAAGGGCAGATTCACCCAGGATACGTGGAATATTTACAGGCGTCAAACTGAAAAGGGCCTGACAACGTGGCCGACTCTCGGACCCATCAGCCGGGAGAGTAGAATGGGTGCCGGAAACGAATTAAGAAATAAAACCCTCCTAGAGGGTAACGTGATTTTATTATAAGAGAGGAATGCACAAGATAAGGAGTTTATTACATCACAAATAAATAAAAAATGCTCCTATGCAGCCCCACTCGGCAACGCAAAAACCAATCTCGACCGAAGCCATCACTCGCCAGGTGAAGAAGAGTCGCTCCCAAAGAATGCCTCCCCGGGCAGCCTAGTGGGAGACGGATAGAAGGTATCCCAGAAAGCTGGCATGATTGGCGGCACCACCGGCTCCTCGTCATCCGGATACATTTCCAGGTATCGAGTGAAGTCGGCATCATTCATCAAGCCGGTGCCCGGCCCGTCCAGGTCATCAAGTGGAATGGAGAAGGTCATACGAAAGGTCAACTGCTCGGGGACGGCCACCTCCACGAAAGATCCGTCTTGAGCAGTCACCCTGGCAGTACTCAGAGGCGGCGGATTGAGTGAAGTCGGAACATTCTCCGTGCGAATCGGGGTCGGCGGCTGTTGAACAGAGGAAGTAGCACCGGGGGGAGACCTCTGGGAAGTCGGGCGAGGAGCCTTCTTCTTATTCTCCCTCTCAGGTCGAGTCCGCTTGGAAGCTAGAAGGCGTCGAGGAGACCCAAAGTCGATCCGCTTTCCCTTCAAAGGCGAGCGACCCATGGTTGATCAAGTGAGAAGAGATGTAGAAGACAAGAGGCTATTTAAAGGATCCATGCGGAGCGGGGAGAATCCAAACGGCTCCGCTGAATCCGGGAAGATAGCAGAGGATCCGGACGTTATGAGGTCTCTTTAAAGACGGGATCCGATGAAGGAGAGAATAAACAGTTACTACTTTCTCAAACTCGGATTAGTGGCCCGGGTATGAGAAAGTGAGGGACTAGTTGATGGGGTGAGGACCCCGGTCCAAAAAGAAGGGCCCAAGAGAGATGGGCCCAAGAGAGATGGAGCCCAAGATAGGAGGTAAGGGTTAGTAAAAGAAGAAGCCCGATGGTGGCCTGGGCCGAATTCAGGAGTCGGCCCAGGCCCAAGACTCGGCTCAGGAGCCGGTAAGAAGCATTCAAGTCGGTCTAGGAGCCGTTGAGGGAACACTCAATGCGGCATTCAAGAGGACTCGGTCAAAAGGGCCGTTAGGAAGCCAAAGAGCCGTTGGTCGACTCGGTAACAGCGATCGAACGGTCTGATAGTGTAATTAGCCTTGAAAGCAATGTTTAATGTATTTCAATTCGGATGGAGGGGAGCCTACTATATAAAGGCCCCTCCACACTTGTAAAGGAGGGCGAGTCCATGCCCAGAGAATAGACACACACACTTCCTAGAGACTCGATTATCCATCTTTGCGATCACTTTTTGAGAAAGGTGAATCCACCAACCAAAGGTTGTGTTGGACCTCCTTGGGCCCGAAAACCCAGAAACCAACAATAGGTGTCAATTATTTCTAGACCTTAACTTTAAAAACATTCCAATTTTGTCCTATAACTATTATGGAATGACTATTTTTTTTTTAAATCTTTCGTCACCGTTTAAATGACGTTAAATACAAGGATATTTTGGTCTATTCAGTTTTAAATATTAATTTAATTTCCTTTTTGTTCATTTATTTATGTGTCATTCCACTTTCAGTACAACAACTCTTTTACTATAACGGAACCGGCAATAATTAGCATAGCGCTCTTCATTAAGTGCAAGTCCCTTGCTCCTTTAAAGAAGTGGTGCCTCATAATAACTTTGGTCTCCTTTTAAGTGTGTGACCGTTACTTGGTCCTAGATCCGTCAGGTCGGTTCAGTTCTTCAGGTCGGGTTACCCAATTATTTCGGTACATACATTCATTGATATCATAAATAATCCATAATTCAATGAGTGCATCTTCCGTGCATATGGTTTTTGATGATGTAGAAACTTTGTATTGTTTTATTACCAAAAAAAAAAAGGAGGATTTTGAGTGGTTAATAACGTCATTTTTTAATGGCATTTAAACATATTTGTTGACGGAGGACATAAAATAGTCATGCTACAATAACGTTAGGACCAACATGGATGTTTTAAAAAAAAAGATGATTAAAAGTGGAATGACATATAAATCTAGGACCAAAAAAAGAAAATGAATTAAAACTTGAAATTGAATAGTCCAAAATGCCCCTGTATTTAACCCTATTTAAACAGTTTTGTTGACGGAGGACAAAGAATGGTCATGTCATAATAATATTAGGACCAAAGGAGATGCTTTGAAAAAAAGAAAAGAAATAAAAGTGAACTGACACCTATAAACTAAGACAAAAAATTGTATTAACTCTAAAATAGAATGTTATTTTTAAAAGGAATTTTTTGAAAAAAAAAAACTACATATATATATATATATATATATATATATATATATATATATATATATATATATATATATATATATATATTCTAAAAAAAAAAAAAAAAAAAAAAACTTAAGTGATCCCAACTTCACCGGAATAATCCTAAATCTACAGGATCCTGCCCCTAGAGTCACTGGGAGGTAAATCGCAAGTCGCGCAATCAACGCACTAGTCAAGTCCTAGTCTAGTAGTCTTCATGTGTGCACAGGGGATCCAATCCCGACCGTCTAGCATCCTTGAACTTTTTTCCCATTCATACTTCCAGTGAGATTCGAACACCCACATTACTGCCTTCAGTCATGACATTTAATTAAGTCAGACGACAAACGAACTACGATAAGTCCCGAGGAGCTTAAGTTACACATTCTTATTTTTACCACTAACAAATCAACCACTATTGTAAAAGCATAAACACTATTCAAATTAAAATTAAAATTAATAAAATAAAATTATTGTGTAGGATTTTGTCACATTTTAAGGCGGTTGATTTGTGAGTAGTAAAAGTAGGGGGATTTGTCATTATTATCACATAAAATATTTTCTATTTTTTTTTTTTTATCTATAGTGTTTTTAACATTTTAAATGTTTTTTGTGTGTGTGTGTGTGTGTGTGTGTGATGAAAGAGGAGCATAAAAGTCCCAGAGTTAGACAAGTCTTCTAGTTGCAACACTGTTTGCATTCCGAGCCAGCAGAGTGCTCATAACGTTACGAGGACAATCCAGCAATGTTGTCCCTCACAAACCTCAGGTTGGTTAAGAAGTTCGCACATTGATTTTCTTCGCGAAAGACATGCCGAAGCTCACACTCGTGGAACCCTTCCGTCAAGCTTTTGTAATCCATAATCAACGTATCAACTTTCGAACTGGCGGAGTTGGTTAGCGCTGATTCGCCTGGTCTTAGTGCTTAAACATTTTAAATGTTTTTTTCATTAGAAATTTAAAGTTGTGATTTAATTTAGTTATCCTTAATTTATATTAATTAAAATATAATATAAGCCACAATAACAATTACATTGAGTAGTGATGGGTATTAATGTTTAAGTCATAATGATTGTGGTTATAAAGATAACTAATAGAAAGTTCTTAGCAAGCTAAGTAGGTAAATTGAACTTGGTATAGAGAAATAAATGCAATATGTAGGTGTAAATTAGACAAGTGATATCAAAAATTTGAACGTAGTTAATACTCATCAAATGGTAAATTATGGTCAAGTAAGTGGTTTCAAGAATGAACCAAAATTCTGACATAAATAACTTTACTAAACTATGGCTCTATTTGGCAAACCTAGCTGAAAAGTTATAAGCTAGGAGCTGAAAGCTGAAAAGGAGCTGAAAGTTGAAAAGCTATAAGCTCGGAGCTGAAAACTGAATAGCTGTTAAGCTAGCTGATATGATTGAAAGTGTTTGGTAAAATTAGCATTTTGATAAGCTGATAAATGTAAAAAGACTAAAAAGAACATTTTCATAAAATTTAAATTAGTTTGTTTACATATTAAAATTTAACATTTTATCTTTACAAAAATTAACATTTTGAAATAAAACTATTAGCATAATCATGATCTAGCATCTCATAATGAAGTAGCAATATTGTTGCAAATCTCATAACAACAATAATAATAATAATAATAATAATAATAATAATAATAATAATAATAATAATAATAATAATAATAATAATAATAATATTTGCGGTGAAAGTTGCGGATAAAGGAGAAGAGAAAAGTGGTTTAATTGAGAATGATAAATCATGTCATTTCTTTAAAATAATAAGGATAAAGATGGAAAAAAAAGTTAGGAAGCTAGGAGCTTATTTTGAAACGCTACCTAAGGTAGCGTTCCAAAATAAGCTCTTATTTTAAGCTAAGAGCTTATTTTGAGAACATTACCAAACTGCGCTTATAGCTTATTAGTAGTTTAAAATAAGCTATAAGCTCTGCCAAACAGAGCCTATATATGTTTGTGCGTATTAATTGAATATATTATATCAAAAGCACAAGTTTGAATCTTTAATTATGTAAAAAAAAAATTAAATTCATTAAAAAAATGGAGAATAAAACACAATGTAATAGGCTGGCAAATTATGCTATGGAACCGAGTCCACCTTACAAGGTGGACACGATTATAGTTCAAAAATTATGAACATGTAGTTTTATAATTATGAACATAGAGTTGTGAACATAATTATGAACATATAGTTATGTAATTATGAATATAGTTCAGTAATTATGAACATAGAATTCTGTAATTGTGAATATAAAGTTCAATAATTATGAATATGAAGTTCAAAAATTATGAATATATAACTTTGTAATTATGAACATATAGTTCAGTAATTATGAATATAGAACCGTATCCACCTTGCAAGGTGGACACAGTTCCACAGCATAACGATTGGTAATAGGCTCCTTTCATCATTGGGCTTTGGAAGGGACAACATGTCATTATCCAAGGTCAGGCCTGAATCTTTTCTATGTGATAATTTATAAATTATACTCTCTCAATCTTATTTTGTTTGTTTGATTCGGTTAATGTAACTTGACTAAAATTTTTAATTTAATTTTTTCATAATATTAAGTTTAATATTGATATACAAAATTTATATATTTAAAAATTACATTAAAAGTACTATTAAACACAAAACTATTAAAATTTAAAAATAATTAAAAATTACTAAAAGAAAGCAATGAAGAAAGAATTGGTTTGACCAATGTATAATAAATAAGACATGAAAAATAGGATAAAGAGAGTAAATAATATTGATCATAGTTTAAAAATGTTATACAATAAATTTAAATAAGAAAATAATAACAGAAATTAAATGCGATGACTTTAGTATGAGAAATTTTCAATTCCCTACTAATTACGCAAGCTATAAATTCACTTGGAAAGTATGAGTAATAAAATCTTTTGTTTAAAAGAAAAAAAAAAAGAATAATTGGGGAGTGAGAGTGGGGGCGCGTGGGGGAAAAGAAAGGCGCCCACAAAAGAGAACTCCCGGTTTTGTGGAATCCGTACACTGGTTTTAAAACGGGGCTGTGGGCGCCCTTTGGACTCGGCCTCTGGTTTTTCCCTCCCATTCTTATCCCATTTGCCCGGAACATGGTCCCACCATCCTTCATTATTTCCTCTTCTGCCCCCCTTTCATTTCATCGCTCCTCTTATTATTATTATTATTATTATTATTATTATTATTATTATTATTATTATTATTATTAAAACACGTTTCCTCGCTCCTCTTTTAGTCACTATCCAGTAGACCTGTAGCCTCTACTAGTCTACAGTATTTTATTATTATTAAATCATTATCTATGTAATCAAAATTTCTCTTCAACAACCGATATATTTCCTACTGGTTATTTCCCTTTTGACTATTTCTTCTTCTTTTTGTTTCTTAAATTAAAATAGGATAATTTGACCAATAAAATATTAACATACAATAGGTTTATCTTTATCACTGCAACTCCAATAAAATAACACTACTCAAACCTCCAGCAAGCGACCATCTTATGTGGAGTTGAGTCATTAACCGGAGATGGTTGAAATATTTTTAATATTAATATATAGAATTTATATATTTAAAAACTATTATTAAACACAAAAAATTAATTTTAAAAATTATAAAAAATTTAAAGAAATTAATTAAAAAAAGAATAGTTGGATTGACCAATGAATAGTAATTCAAAATGTGTAATACAAAAAGTGAATAGTAAAAATTTTAATTTTTCCTTTATGATGATTTTATTTAAACTTTTAATTTCATAATAATAAAAAAAGATTTAATTCCTTATTTAGTCCATTGATTAATCACATTTACCAAATTTTGTCATTAACTTTAAAACTTATCTATTTTAGACCTTCGACTATTGATTTTGCAATTTTAATCTATTGAATATAAAATATTCACAAAATCACATAATAATGTTCAAAATTTTATAATCCATATGTACAAATACAAATCTTTATAAATTTTGTATAATTGCACTTGATATTGTTTAATATTAATTTTATTTTACTAATAATAAAAATGCACAATTTATGACTATTAAAAATTATAAATGTGTGATTTGGGGGGTAATTTG